AGTTATAATAACACACCAGAAGTCACAAAGTCATCCAGGACGTTTTGGTAAACAAGCTTCGATAAAGCCACCTACAGCACCAGCTAAAAACACTTCCTGGGCAAACTCGTAAGTGATGGATTTTTATCAGTCTTGTTTTCTGTTTTGACTAGATTTCGAAGCCGTTTTCCAGTGTGACTTGCAATAGAAAAAGGGCTGAAGGGTCATGCTGGAATAACATACAGAACCCAAGACCCAGACAGCTGTAAAAGTCACCCACATGGCAGAGTTAAACTCTGCTGGTGGATGCTGGCATTTTCCCAGCTATTTAATATGTGGTGTTTTCTTACTGTAGGGTCAGAGTGAAGTGACTTTTGCCATATACTTTCATCTCATTTTCTGGTCTCGATCTCCTTGTGGACTGGTAAGGTTCAGGAGAGCATCCATGTGATTTCTCTCAGGAAATAAGCATTTGAACCAGAAAAGAAAGGTCTGTCCCTGCCTTTAAAATAAATCTTAGGTGGTATAGAGAAAACATACTCAGACCGTGGGACAGGAAAGTCATGCGTGCTGGAACTCAATAGCACCCTGTCCGGCTTGAAGAGGCATTGATGGACAAAAAGGAGGCGTATCTGCACAGATGTAGACAGATTCAGCTGGAAACATTTCATTTATTCTTATATAGTGGGGAGAGAAGATCTGTACATTATTTTTTTTTTAATAATTTGGGCATATCTGTTTTGTAAATGGATCGTATCACAAATATTGACAACAGACAGACTTGTTTTGTGTTAGCTGCGTGCCTCTGAGTGAGCCATTGATTGATTGTTCAGCGCCCAACAGGGCAAGAGTTGCTTCTTGCCAGATCCCAAGTGAAAATAGTTAAGTCTACGTAAAAAATATTCCTGTGTGGAACTGGCCTTAGGCTTGAGGGAGCCCCTCATAGAAATAAGTAAGGTTTCTATAGTAGTCAGTCAAAGGGGGATGTAAACTTCTCCTGGCTGCGGCTGCGTGTCATCCTCCCTAGGCCATTTGACCAGTGGAGCTAAAAATATTGCTTGTGGAGCCGGGGTTCTGAATCCTTGTCCTTCTGAATCTTGTCTCGTGCGACGTGAAGCCTGGGTGGCTTGTGATGATCTGGGTATATTGGTTTTACTAATGGAAGGTTCACATCTCTGGCTCAGTGGAAATTAAATCATCAGTTCAGTAATCCCTAATCATTTTTTTAGCATGACATTTCTTCTTGCTTTGATAGTCGGAAAAAAATAAGAAGCTCTGTGCAGTGTGCTGAAGTCTCACCAGGCTTTCATCATACATTTCATCCTACACAGCATGCAAGAGTAAAGGAGAACAGATCAAACTGTAATAAGAGTAGGAATGAACCCAGATTTTCCATTTAGTGAGAAATTCCATAATTGTCATGACGCTTTTATTGTGAACGGTTCTGTAAAATGAAATTCAAAAAAATACTTTGGTTTTATTCAAGAGGGTTTGGTTTTTTTTAAGTCACTGGTCAGTTTGTCCTTTTAAAGATCATGAAGCTTTTTTTTGGCATTATTGAAATCTTCCTTTGAGACTTTATTTGTTGTTTTTATTAAATTTGTCATACTCAGGTTTGTAACTGAATGTTTGAATCCGGGAAATCCAGGAAAACGGTTAAGCTGTGTGCTTACCTTTACCTCTGTTCTTATGTCCCATTGAAATTAATGGGATTTAAGCACGTGCTTCTCTAAACCAGGATCATCAATAATTAAAGAATAGAAAAGTAATTATTGAATTGGAAAATTAGAGGGTGATCAAAAATTTATTTGAGCAACAATTTATGGAAATTGTTAAAAATGTGACGAAGGCGTTCTGGCCTTATGGATGTTATGTGCCTGAAGCACCAGTAACGTTTAGCTTTGCTATAAAACACAGCTGACAGCATGAGACCGACTTAACAGTCACTTACTTGTTTCTACTATTTTATTGACTCTAAACTAACAAAAGAACCCTTTTGCAAAACCCTTCTGGTACTTTAGAGTTTGCAGGAAATGGGAGCGAGATGTACAATTTTTATATTGCTGTAGTGAAACTTTGTAGGTTTTGATATCGAATGAGGTCACTGTTGTTTCTGCTGCTTTGGCTCTGCAACTGTGGGAGTCCGGCTGCGAGAATTTAGGCGTGACTTTCTTGTGATTTGTACTGAAGATCTGAGGGGAAGCCCTAAATGTTGTCCAGTTCCTTCCTCGATTGCTGCAATGATTCCTTCCTGTGAAGTTAACTGCACCCCTTGTAAATATGGCTGTCTCATTTTAGGTTAAAAATTTGTCACTCAGGCTCCAAATCTGCAAAAACTTGGCTGGATACCACTTTCAGAACCACCTAAAGCATGTCTGCCTTTTGACTTTAGTTACAGCAGGCTGAAAACTGTAGGGTATTAGGAAATACTGACATTCAGGGTGTTGGAATAACTTTCTGCTGGGTGAAGATTTGTATCCTTGCTCCTGAAACTGTGGTCTGTGTTAACACAGTCGCTCCGAACGTGACTGAAGAAGGGGCGCTCCCGTTCCCCCGGGTATCCTGCCATCCTTTTGCCCAAGAGCCTGATCCCCAGGGCTGTGATTGCAGGCGTGGGGCTGCCTTACCTAGGAGCGGAGATGGCGGTTCTGGCCTCCGGGCATGTGCAACCACCCCTCTGCTGCTGCTTCTGCAGGGATGGCTCGGCTGGTTGCTTAGCAGCTGCTGACCTGCTGCAGTTTTAAGGTACGGAGCGGTGGTTCTGGGTTACCTTTCTGCTCCGCGAGATGGTGTGCAGCGCAGGAAGAACCTCCCAGGGAGATGGTGGGGCAAGAAACACCGCTGCTGCCGTGAGGTAAGGCTGGCCCTGCTCGTTAGTCAGCTTCCTTGCTAGCTGTTAGTAGCCTCGTTACTGTGATGGTGTGGAATGGGTCTCATCAGAAGCAAGGAGAAGGCTGTTGTGTCGTCCCTTCTCTCCACAGCTCATCCTGTACACCCTGTGTCACGTGGACCAGTAGTTTGCTGACCCCAACTATTCCTCTAAATTTAACCCTTACTGTCTTAATTCATGGTAAAAAGAGACTGTCAGTCTGCAGTCTGACATTTAAAATCAAAGTATCGTGGGATTAATGACAAATATACGATCACTTGACAAAGAGGTTAGTTATTTGCGTGGGTAGCGTACGAGGTTGTATGGAAATGTCCTGTTAAGCGCAGCGGGCAGAGGCAAGTAAAGGTTTGCAGCGATTTCTCGGTCTGACGTTTCTTACATTGGTGACTAAACCTTGCTCAGCTGAAGGTCATACTGGCAACTTAGCAAGAGAGCAAGAACAGCTTGATTGCACAAAGATGGAGAAATTGGAAAGGCTTGTCGTCTTTTTGAAGATAATTAGACTTGCACTGCTGTGGTTGTTTTTCTCCTTTAGATGAAAAATAAAATGACACAACTTAGGGAAATTACAAAGCATTTATGTCCTATATAGATTCCCTCTCTCTAGGCTTGTGAAATATGGGTGATTTCTTGCGATAGGAAAGCAGAGCTTATGGGCACAGTACACAGTCTGGAGTTGTCTTAAATAAATTTGACAGAAAATAGCTAGTACGCTGGGTTGTAGGTTTTACAGCTACCATTGCCTTGCAGGCTTTGGGTATTAATATAAGAAGTGATGCTTGTACCTTTCCAGATAAACCAGTGAATGTAGCCCAGCCGTGGCTGGGAAGTCGGAGTAGACCGTGCTTTCTCGTGTCCCAGGTGAAGAGGGCGTCAGGGGTAGTTGGGGTCTGGGGTCACGCCGTACAGCTGCTTTCCCTGGTGGCATGTCCCCTCCTGTACCCTGCCTTTCCCTGCGTTCTGCACTGGTTGCCAGGCATCCCTTTGTCACTTGTAATGCTTGGCCCTGCCTTTGAGCGGCCCGTGTCACCTGGAGCAATTGGATTCCTTCCTCTGACATCTCCCGAGGCCCTGCACGGCCAGCATTGCTACGCTCTGGGAGCGCCCGGGCTTGCGCAGCGTGGCTGACATCTGTTGCGTGCGTTGGGGTTTTTCTCATCCTTTCTCAAGGGAGACAACTGCATGGGGAGCGTGTAATGCTGCAAGATTTTTATTTTTTTTTTCTTTTTAACTATGGCCGTACTGTTGATTTTAGGAAAGAAAGACTAAAAAGGCGCTCTGCCCTTGCGATAGCAGGTGGGGCGGCTTTGTGAAGGTCCTCGGTCACTGAGTCGGTGTTCACATCTGTAAAACAGGAGGAGTCTCGTATTAGGGGCTGCGTGGGAGCGTTGAGAGGATTCATGACTGCTCATAAAGTGCTTTGACCTGTAAACTGCTGCATTATTACAACATTTTTTATTGATCATAATAGGCCGTGAAGCATTTAGAAGGAGTCATTAGGTATTAAAAGCTTCACGAAGCAAATTCTGCTGTGCTGCCATGGTCCTTTCCTTGTCCCCTGAAGCAGTATGTATCTTGTCAATATTTTAATTGGGGAAATGATATGCGCTCAGGAGTAAACCTTCAGCTAGTGTTATTCATCACGGATGGTTTTTTTAATCCAGCTGAGGATTTGCCTGGGGCGTCTGACAGAAATTTTGCAAGCTTCAATTCTGCCTTCAGATCCCTGATTGTATATTCTTCTATCTATGTACAATCTAATTTCACGCTATTTATACAGCCGTTTTGTAATTTACATTTCTGGAAAGACACCTTGTGTACGAAAACGCTACGAAATCCTTGTAAGACAGGTGGAAGTTAAAAGCTTTGGATCGGTCTCACGGTGCTGGGCCGCATCCAAACCCACGGTTAAATAATTAAACTAGGAACACTTCGTCTGGTTTGAGCATGAATGGCTGTCTGCAGATTAAAACATGAAAATATTACTAAGGCTTTTCCATCGCTTTCAACTGTTTTGAGAAGAAATATGGCCAGACCTGTCTGCCACTTCTGCGCAAATTTTCATTTCCTGCATCTGACCCGAATGGGTGAGGAGCTTCTAAAAGCGTGAGTCTCTTTTCTGTTTGTGCAGGGGAGGAGCTGGATCGTGAAGCGGAGTTATGAAGATTTCAGAGTACTCGATAAACATCTTCACCTATGTATTTATGACCGGCGCTTCTCCCAGCTCTCAGAGCTACCCCGCTCCGATGCCCTGAAGGACAGTCCGGAGGTAAATCATCTGCTCTGTAAACATTGAAAGCACACTCACCAGCAAAGGGGTTGGAAGGTATTTTCAAGTATGTACAGAGTAGTTTCGATGCAGCCTGAGTTAGGTTGGAAATTGATTACCAGCAATAAGATCAGTATGTGTTTTCTGCCCTTAATTTCGGTGATCTAAAGGGAAATGCCCTGCAAGTTCACGTGAATTAATGTGCTGCTGAATGGGGAATGGTAATAGAGAGTGTCAAGAAAGCAGCTGTCCTTTTAGTACCTTAGATAAGAGTTTTGTTATGTCTTTGGCAGCTTTTTCAATGATGTGGCTCTTTCTGACTGAATTTCAGCAGCTCAACGTTCCTAGGAAATCGTGCTGCTCTAGGGCTGCAGCACTGCAAGACAAATACCAGTTGGAATGCTGGGCTTATATTTATAAACTGAAAATTACCGAAGCTGGTTTTTAAGAGCATTTGCATTAGTGCATTATGTACATGGTCTTTAAAAAGCTTAAAGTAGTGGGGTTTTTCCTAAATGAGTGAGAGGTATTTTGCATTTCTTGACTTTACTGTCTTCACCTGGAATGTAGTGAGCTGGAATTCCTTCAGCTTCTTCCCTGTTGATAATTTAGAGATTTATTCATGTCCAAAATAATCTTCTGGAAAGTAGCAGGTGCATCTTGACTGCATCATTTTGGAAGATGTGGAGAAGGAGACGATGTAATGCGTGGCCACAGAGGTTATTTGAGCCAGTAGAGCGTAACAAAACCGTTCGGCCTCAGCCTGTCTGCGGGATGAGCGTGTGTCCTGGTGAGGGCCAGCGCCCAGCGCTTCATCTCACAGGTCACTTATCTCTGGGACCCGTAGTTGGATGTCTGCACCGTACCATCAAGCACAAGTGCGGAAAAATCTTACCATGCTGTGTGGGAAGGCTCATGTTGCCTGCCCACGAGATGTGTAGCTGGAAAGGGAGATGAAATTGAGGCCATTCCAAGCGTTCAAAGAAGAATCCATCCAGGATCTATAAATCAGAAACTGTGTTCATTCAGCGCTGAGCGGGCGAGGATTGATTGCTCCTGAGCAGCACACAGTGGCCGACAGCAGCGCCCCGCTGAAGTCCACAGGGCTTTTGCCATTGAATGTAGGAAGCTGATAGTGCGGTCCCGTCAGAGAATCTGACTTATTAGTTGCTTTGGCTTGATGCAGGCTGGTTCTGAAGAGAATTTAAAAGCTTCTAGTCTCTTAAATTCAGCAGAAGCAGCAATACTAGGGATAATGAATTCCTGGGTTTATGTTTTTGAATTATATTTTAGGCATTCCCATCTCTCGCATCTTTATTTGTACAACTGATTTAATGTGGACTTTGTAGCACGAGCCTGAAAATCTGCGTTATAGCTCTAAGCACAGAAGATGTAAAGATGTTGAACAGCTCTGCTGCTCTGTGAAATGTAATTCTGCAGCTGTGTGGTGTCTCATGCTGTATTTTTTATTTTGAATTGACCACATTTGAACAGATGTTTGAGGAGAACCGTGTTTTAAACAGTCCTACAAACTCTGGGCTACAATACTGCTTTATAACACTGTCACTGTGAAGCTTTGGAAAGACCTCCCTGGCTTCTCTTTAATAAAAGCAAGTTTGCTGTTATAGGAGGGACATTGCTAAGTGTATTTTTAAATCCCTCTTCTGCTGTTTGAAATATCACTCTTTCGCCAAGGGGTCGGTCTGAGTTGCCACGTTCTTAAGGGTTAGCAAGTGGGTGGAAATGGCAGCCAGTGTTTTGTTTCGCTAAACAGTTCTCAGATGTGTTTGGTGGCCGCAATGCAAATGATTTGTTTGTACGTGAAACTCGTGACGAGAGGAAGGCTTTAGATTTAAGGTAGCTTAAGAAGGGAAGTTAAGAAAATCTACATATCTTATAAAAAAATAACATTATTGCTTTCTCAGGGAGCTGCTTCTTTACAGATTTTTTTTGTGTAATCCTTGTAACGTTGTGTGTAGTTTGCTCTCCTTCTCCAAATGACAGATTTCCTTGCAAAAGGGAGTCTATTTCTATAACGCTTGCCTTTGCCAGTTAATGGTCTCTCCAAGTCTGAAGAAATCTCTCCAAACTATGGTGTATTAATAGAAAAACACGTCTCTTTCTTTCTGTTCCAGCTTGTCACCCAGATGCTGATGGCTTACCTGTCACGCCTCTCAGCCATCGCAGGCAACAAGATAAACTGTGGGCCTGCTCTCACGTGGATGGAGGTATGGTATGAAGCTTAGATTGTTTCCTGACCTTAGCAGCAGAGCAAGCCACAAATGTGCTCTCTTGCCTTCCCAGGAAGAGGTTTAATCCTTCCAGACCTATTGGTGTCACTGAAATGCTATCCTAAAAGCTTTATTCCCCTGTCACCAGCGTACAGGTGGCCACAAAAGGCATAGAACAGAGTCAGACCCCATGTTAAGAATATAGGAGCTTTTTTTTTCCCTTGCCACAGCCACAGAAACAATAAATCTGCTCCTGTTTGCCATCGCTGTCGGTTAAACGGCTCAACAGAGCCTGCGTTGTGCTTGCAGTGGCACTGTCTGTACATTGTGACTTGCAGCTGCAGCTTTGGTTTCTCTGTTAATGGTCTTCTGCCATCTTAAACAATAGACCTCGTTGGGCAACGAGTGCAGGCAAGAATGGGGCCGAGTGATCAGGGCCACCTGTCTGTGTCAGCGGCGCTGTGGCTGATTAGCTCGGGTAGAGATACGCGTGTCTTTCCATTGCCCGATGCTGCTGCTGCACCCCAGGAATAGAAACAGCTATTATTAGACTGTTGCAATTCAGTTTTAAATGCTTGTGATAAGGATTGAGTGCATTTTCCTGCAATTTTCCCCGCTGATATCCTCCTCACCCTGAAATCCTTTGGGATGAGAAAAATCTTGGAAACCTTCTCAGCACAAAGGGAGGAAGGAAGTTGTAGAGAAAAACAGAACTGCAGAATTTACAGCGACACAGTGGACCGAGAGATTAGAGCAATACAGAATAACCTTTCTGACTAACTGAGAATCTTAGAAAATTCTACATGAGCACAAAAAATCTAGGAATTTTGAAAGTAGGCTGATGGTTGTGGCAAGGGGTGGGAGCCATGTTGTCTTAAAAGAAGAAATAAAAAGGTGGGAGAAAGTTGAAAGTGATGCCAGTTTTCAGTTTGACAGCATTTCCTCTTCCCGAGCATTAATTCCACTTGCAGAGAATTTTTGCAGTCAGTTTTGTGTTGCCATTTTCAGTACTTCAGGAAAAACAAAACGGTTTGGTGTTAAAGGGGGGTGTAAACATTCACTGTCATGTTACTGTTTGTACACAAAGATGCGCAAATACAGCGTTTTTCCTGTTAGTTGGATGGGGGACATACGACCTTCTGAAATACTCTTTATGAGTTGTTCTTCAGCTTCCTTTCTGCCTGCGCTGTGCCCTACGCTGTCTCTCCATGCCGCTCTCCTCGGGGGCCCCCCAAGCTGTGCTGTCTCTGTGAATCAGCTTGAAGTCTCTGCCATGTATGAGCACCAATAAAATGCCTCCTCGCTTGTCCTCAGCTGCCTCACAGTCTCCTGTGCTCTTTGTTTCAGATTGATAACAAGGGGAATCACCTGCTAGTCCATGAGGAATCATCCATTAACGTTCCTGCTATTGCTGCTGCCCATGTTATTAAGAGATATATTGCTCAAGCAGCAGACGAACTGTCCTTTGAGGTAAATAATTAAAGGCACTTACATTCCTTGTTGTCATATATGGAAGAGTGTAATGTGTGTGTGTGTGCATCGGGGATATATTCAGACACTTTCTGAATGTTTTGTGAGGTAAAGCTTAGGGGATTCAGTTAAATACTCGGTTTGCAATGGGTTGGATACAGGGAGGAGTTCAGTCATCTTTAAAATACAGCTTTACTTGGCATCAGTATCTTCTGATTAAACAGATACTGCCAAGTACTCTAGCCTGGTCTCTGAGCAGCAGCAGCAGCGGACCCTGCGTGGTTCTTACTGTACGGTGTACAGAAGTGTGTGGTCTCTGTTCAGGAAGACTATCCACGTCTCTGCGTGTGGACACATGCCAGTTTAATTACTCATTGGCCACTTTACACAACCTGTGTTCCTGTTAGCAAGTCTGTGTCCAAAACAGTTTTTAAGAGCTTCTGCTCCCATGAAAAGTAAGAACCAGACTGTCAAAGAATTTGGTACTTAAAGGGCAGGTGATAATCTAAAACTGTTCTGAAAATCTTACTTGATGCAGAATAGGAGCTGCTGTGGAGCACAGATGTGGAAGATCAGACCCTGAAAGTCTTTGGGTATCTGGCTCCTGTCGGTTTTAGCCAGAAAGTGGCATTTTACGCCCTGATTGTTTCTGTACCATCAATGGAATATTCACAGTGTTCTGCAAAAAAGTGTAAAGAAAAACAGTTAGTGCCCGAAGGACTTTTTGCGATCGCGTTCTTAGCATGCAGCGCAGGAAGTAAATGTAATAGCCGTCGTCTAGTGCTGCCAGGGTTTTGTTCATACTCAAAACCGAGGCAATTATTAGTGTTCACCAAAGAAGGGCGCTGATCAGACAGACAGATCTTCCGAGTTCCTAGGCAGGCAGCACAGGGTGCAGTGCAGGCTGTTGGTCAGTGTCTCAGCGTTAATAAAAGCGCTGAGGTGGCACTGCCTGCCTGTAAAGCTTACGGCTCTGCGCCAGCAGGCTGACTTGGCCTTGCAACTTGGCTGTCCAACAAGTTGTTACGAGGCATAGCAGTGGGGAAACCAAGGCACATGTGAGTTCATGCGGTGAGAAACCTTGGCAGAACAGAGGTGGAATAGGATCAGTCATTTTTACACCGCTGCTGCGTTCTGTTCCCTAACCCAAACTATCTCTTTGTGTTTAGGCTATTGTTACTTCCTCATAGGCAGTTGCAAAAGTAGCTGACTGGCATTTGCTCCCCAATACTGAGGAAAATACCTCGTTTCTCTGCTCGTTGTGGTGACAGCAGTTTCCTTAACAGAAATTTGCTTTGCTCTTGGTTAGCTGTTCCCTTGAGGAGATCACTTCACTTCCCTGTGTCTCAGTTATCCCTATCTGAAAAACGGGAATGTGTTACCTTCTTTGTAAAGCACTTTGAGATATGTTTTGTAAAACATCTGGTTGAAGTTGGGCCTTACTGTTAACAATTTGGGCCATACCTAGCTGCAGTATTTGTTTAGGTTCTGCCCCTTCTGCTCTGGCCTATCTCATTTTCTGTTACAGAGAGCACACAGATCTTAATTCCCACCAAGCCCAGTTTCATACCGATTATACGGATTTCCTCCTGCACTATTGCAGTATTACATTTTTTATGGGAACGAGCAAAGCTTCAGAAAACCTGTTTGGTCTCCGTGGTCGTTTGCCTTCCTGTTGCTGTAACACCACGCCACCTCTCCTCTGTTCGTTTGCTGATTAAGAAAAGCACGTCTTGGTTAGTTTATGAACCACAAAGGGAGCTCTTAGCTTTTTGCAGTGAAAGGAAACAAGGCGACATCTGTCAGCGCCCGCGTACACATACATTGGACATGTAGTAAAAATTAGTTCAGATATTTGAGAATATTTTCCAGAGCGTTTCACACCACCACGGCTTACTTGTGTCTGCAGTTCGATCAGAGCGCTTCTGTACCCCTTGGCAGAGAGCCTGCTGTGTTTGTGAGTTGGTTCCTCAGGAGCAGCTGTATCCTGCGTGTCGTGCATTGCAGTAGCTCTTCTGCCTCACGGTTGGGTTTTCCAAAGGCAGACGGCTCAGGATCGGCATCGGTGCCGTCGCTCGCAAGCTGTACAGTTCGTTGCAGCGCTGAAGAATGCTTTTACTGGAATTGTGCTTTCCTCCTAGCCCCGTTGCAAGCTGCCACTGATGTTGCCAATCTTTTGCAGGTGGGAGACATAGTGTCTGTTATTGATATGCCACCAAAGGAGCTGACCACGTGGTGGAGAGGCAAACATGGATTTCAGGTAGGCGCAAGCATCACACGTGACAGTGCAACTTAAATAAAAGCAGGGGACTCAGCAGGGTGGTTATAGAGCTGCTGTGCCTGCACAGGGTTGCTCATGGATAGAAGCAGAGTGTCCCTGCGTTGGTGTAAGAGGGCTTCCCCTTTCTCTCTGGACTTGGGCTAGAGCAGATGCGTGGTCTTCATAGGAAGGTTTCTCCCTGCCTAACTGTGAGCTGGGGATAGCCATGACCCTTTGATGGACAGCTGGCCTGATGTTAGTGGAAGCTTATGTTGCCCCCACTCCAAGGCAGCTGACGCTGTCCCTCAGATCATCCCATTCCTTCCACTGCCTAAAACCTGATCAGGCAGAACATAGCGGATTCAGAGAAAGCCGGTTGATAAGACACTGCCACTGACTTGGACAAGCCACCCGACTAACCTGTGCTTTCGTGCCTGCGTGTATTGTGTCGTGGTGGTACTACTGGTCGCTGTAAATGTTAAGGCAGAGAGATTGAGGCTGAATATTCAGAAGATTCTAAACATACCTGGGAATTAGGTACCAAAACTTTTGTGTTTAAATGGCAGTTCCCTTCCAAAGGAGTTGTTACGCCCTAGCTTGGATTTTCTCATTAGGAAATTTAATTTTAAAAAAGCCTCTATTTACAAAACAGAACCCAAAAGCTACTGAGGGTTGGGGTAACTGACTTTCTGCCTTCTCACACGGTAGTGTCTCACATTGCAGCTCCTTTTGAGTAGGAGGGATTTTCGTACTGCAGTTGCTGTCTGTGAGTAGGTGGAATTACGAGTTTGCTCTGGAGAGGATCAGAATTGACCAGACACTTGTATATTTTGGCCTGGAAAGTCTTCTCAAAGTACCTCAGATTTTCCCTGACAGACCTTTCTGGGCCAGATCCAGGTTGTGGTTCTGCTGTCATTAGTGCCAGGGCTGTGTGCAATTGGATCTCCAAACACTACAAATCCCATCTGAATGGAGTGTTAGTTACACGATTCCATTTCTGTCTGATTAACCAGAGCACGTGAGATACAGCTTTTGTTGGCTTCATGTCAGATGTGGGAGTTCAGATAATATCTCATTTATAAAAGCAGAGCAGTGTGGCCATACGATACCTGCTCTGAAATTAAGTTTTTTTTTCCGGAGTTAAAACATGGATATTTCTTGAACAAACCTGACTGTTGTTCTTCTAGTTTTGAACTGTGTTATGTCTTTGTGGGACTTTTGTTCTGACCTCAGAAGCCCTAAAGCTGTATTTGCTGTCCTATCAAAAATTAATGAAATGCTCGGTGCTGCTTGGAATGATCAGGCTCCGTCGCATTTCACTTAGGAGTGAAACAGTAAAGCAAAACTGCTTTGGGATCTGTGCAGCTGATTCCAGGTGTGTGGTATCCCCATGCAGGATGCAGATTCCTTTATTCCGTGCAAGCTCCCTGCTTGCCGTCAGGCTGGCTGAAATTGTGACTAGCTCTGAGAAGCGTCACTGGTGATTAAAGACACGAGAAGCCAGGGAGCTCTTCTGCAGTTTGTCACTGCCTTCTGTCTCTCGGATCAGAGCAACCCTGTTGTGCTTTCCCAGCATAAAGATACGTTGATGAGCAAACTGCTTGGAGAGGGGTTTGTCTGCAGCCGCGCACAGTCAGTCTGCTGACACAATAGATCTGAACAGCTGCAGAAACAGAGCGCCGTATTTGTGCTTAACAGAAAATTAGGGGTGGGATAATCTTGTGTCTTAAATTGTAAGCGAGAGCCCTTCACAGTGTGGATCAGATTGCGGCCGCCGAACCACCCTGTTGGCAGCGCGGCAGCCCCAAGAGGTGTTTCAGTAGCTTTCAGGATGTGTTTGCCCAAATGCTGTAAATGAAGTTAGTGTGTTTGAAGAAGTTCCTGCCTCTCAGCTGAGCCAGGGTAGCAGGCCAGCTGTAGGCTTTCTGCTCCTGCGGACTGCGGAGTAGAGCTGGTTAGCTCAGAGGTGGTTCTCAGCAGCTGCATCTCAGTTGCCAAGCAGTAATTTCATAAGCAGTGCTCACTCAGTTATTGCTGCATGAACGTATCTCCTCACACAGCCACGGATCTGATCTGCGTTTTTCCTGTGAAGTGACAGTTTTCGTCATTTCTTTGAACTGTACTTATCAGAGCTTTTCATTCCCGTGAAACACCGTCAGCTACCAAGATTCTAGCCTTGTACAAAGAGGGAGAGGGGTTTTTAACCTGCGTTTCAAGCTTAAGGCCCACAAGCCGTGAGTGTGCACAAAAAGTGCATTTCCTGATGTAACGGGAGTTTTTTGACCATTCTAACTGCTGCAGCGAGACAAGAATCCGGAGAAAGGAGATTTATCTCTGGTGTTGGTACAGCAAACCTAGAGATGTGTTACGGTTCGGGATAGAAGTGTACCAGCATGTACAGGTGAAAAATGTTGTTGCAGTAATACGTGTTAAGTACGGATGAAGCTGTGCAGCCTTTAAAGCGTTTATTATAGGCAAAGAATTCTGTTGTCGTTTAGGAAGAACAGCCGTTGTAAACATGATAGCAATCTGTTGGTCCAGTCATTTTAATTAACAAAATAAATCAACAAAGACAGTCTTGCCAGATAGTTGCGATTCTGAGAGCAGGTAAGAGGAGGAGATCCAAAGACGACGTGCTTGGCCAGTTTGTTCGTGGTACTTCTCAGGTTTTTGCTTTGTGCTAGGAAAGGAGCAAGGTTTTATCAAGTGGACCACAGCTTACGTTGTAAATCACGTCTTGACAGGAGGGGAGCGAGGTTTTGCCGAAGGTGGAAAAAAAATCACTTCTTGACTTAAAAGAACTTCCCTGGTTTTGTGCATTTAAAGCAGCCGTGACTGTGTACGTGTGGGCAGAAGCGCGTTCATTTCTGCGTGTGCCCCATCTATTAGGATAAATAAAGGGTTTCTCTGTGTTGTGCAAACAGAGGCAGGTCTGCAGATGTCACCAGAAAAGCGGACCTGCCAGGTTGCAAGCATGTTCAGTTTGAACTGCAGCTCTGATTCAGTGTGGAAGTCAAGTTATTCTTTGCCAGCCAGAGCTGTCCTTCAGGAGTGAATCACCATTTTTGTTATCCTTCGGGTTTCTGTGTCTTACAGTTGCGGGTGCCTCTCTCCCAGTACCTGATCTAATGTCTGCGTTGCAAGATGCTTAATCCTGTGCAGAACAGAACATCCCGCTAGGCTTCTTATCATTTTCTCTGGTTAAAGTAAAATGATTTTAGGGATATTTTTCCTCCAGCCTTTTTCTTTTTAAATGCCCTTAGTGAGTCACTGCTTTCATTGTTAAGATTGTTACCTAAATTACAGCCACCTCCACACTAACAGCCTTCCAGCCCTCTTTGTTCTCCTCTTCTTTTTCTTCATGCTTTGTCTTTTCAATCAGTAGCTCTGTTTCAGAGAGCTGAATCACTAGGGACAGGCCCTTTTTTGGATGCACAACTGCCTTTAGATGTTCTGAATAATTCTGTCTTTTGGGTATAGCTTCATTAGTGACACTGCTGCACGGCTGCTAGAGGTGACACAACACAATGCACGGGAGTGTGCGTAGCCAGAGGTGGACTGGGCTTTTTTTTCCATCAGCCTGTGCTTCCATGAGCTTGAACTGGTGGTGAAACTGGAGGCCTTTCCCTAAAAAAAGGCAAGTTTTAGGGGTAAAACGAGCTGTTAGTTGAGGGCTTTTTTTTTTTCTTGCGCATCGTTCTCTAATCCATGACGTGTTTGTGATGTGAATGTTGCAAACCTGCCGTGGGCAAGAAAAACTTACCTACAGAAAGTTAGATCATAGAGACGGTGCGCACCGGGGACATGGGATCCTTCCCAAAGATGTCCGCCTGCACGTGGCAGTCAACAAATATATTGTATATTAAATTCATACCTCTTCAGTCTATACAATGCATATTTAATTTCACGCTCTCGATGATTGGTTCTTCTTCTTTTGCTTCTGATACAAATTAGCGCGCAGCCTCTGTTGTAGTCTTCTACTTTCCCTTGTGAGTAGGGGGTATGATTTGGGTAGGTGGTCTGTGAGTCGGAGGTCTTGACCACTCCTCGAATTGACCATGTTTGGTCAAGGAACACGTCCTTGGCTCGCAGGCTCTTGGCTCGTACCTACCTTGGTCATGATTCAAAGATTATACAGAACGGGCACCATCACAAATCCTGTCTTGCAGACATCTTGGACTGCAACACGCTGTCCTTGTTTCTAACCACTAACAGATCATGGGTTAATGAATACCTTAGGTCTGGAATTTTACAGCAGTATGCTGGCAGCATGGGCAATACAGATTGTATTTTATATTTGATCATTTATTCCATTTGAGACTTATTTTCCCAATAGAATCATTAGTCTCTCCTATTAATATCTAGTAATTAGAATTCTTGGTATTTACATCAAGATGGGAAAAGTAAGGGGATTTCTAAGCAGTATCCTAAAATCTTAAATCTGGTGCTTTCTGCAACACGAACATAGGGTACCGATAAGTAAAAACAGCCCGGGAAGGCAGGGCACGTTTTCGTGGTTGGTGTCACTTTGGAAACACCAGCTCTTAACTGAGAAGCCAAAGTTTGTTTTCTGGTTCACGTTGCCTTGATTTGGGAACTCGGTGCGAGAGACAGCCATCCGGGTGGTGAATGGTATCACCTGCAAACCGGGCGACGTGCAAGAGCCCGGCGGACGTGTCACCAGTGACGTCACTCCTCGGCCAGATGGCCACTTCCATTTGTAGAGCAGTGCCAACTGCAGGAACAGATTGGGCAAAAGGACATCTGAACCGATTTGCCACGAGTTTCCCGCTCTGCCCCTTTTTTCCCGCAGGCACGTAGCAGGAGCTCGCGTGGGCAGAGGCGCTCGTGCTGGCGTTCCCCTCGCCGTCCCCGCGGCTGCACTGCCCGAGCTGAGCAGCAGAGGTTTCTCCCACCTCGCTGCAGGAGCGCCCGTGACCTTCGGTGGTACCGTTCGGCGTTCAGCTGCTCCGGCAGCCGGGAATGCTGAGGGAAGAGCCTTCGCCCAGCCGCCCCTAGTTTGCCACAGTGCAGCTGTACCCGTCAGGAATGGGTGATTAACATGTTTCATCCCACACAGACGTTTCTTTTTTGGTGAATAAAAGAAATTAGAAGGGGTTTGCGGCCAAGACATTCAGCTGTCTTTTACAGGAGTTCAGCATAAGAGGACTAACAGTCCCATTCCTCCTGTAACTGGTGCCCCTCTGAAGTGGGTGAGTACTTTTGACAGGAGCTGCACTGGAACCCCAGTTTGGGAAACTGGGTGAGGGTGCTCTGCCCTAGCCCCTGCTATGAAGTTACTTGGCAGTGACAATTCTGCTCGTGAAAACCAAACAAGCAATAAAAAGTCGATGTTTCACCGTTAGGTTTTGCTAGCCTATCATGATCTAAAACTAAAAGAGAAAAGCTTTTTGAATTAAATTTAACCCGTACTTTAGCCTGTGTCAAGACCAAAAAAACATCGAAATGTCTCAAACATCGTTTCATTTGCTGTTTCTGTTGCTGCCGCTTTGTCATTTGTTTGAGTTCCCTCCTCCTCCAATGAAAATTGTTACTGTTACTTTGACTTTTCCCCTCAAAGCCTCATGTATCTTCTAGTTTTAGCAGATGCTGGCATAAAAGTGGAAAAAAAAAAAGATATAGTAGCTGTTGCAGAAATGTTTGCGTACGACAGTAGCCTGTGCTTTCCCCCTTTGGTTAAGGTGTGTAGTGATTTTTTTAACCTTTAGATGACCTTGTATTTATCTAAATATATACAACCCTCGCTATTAATTTTTGTACGTTGCCAAATCCTTTAATCCTGGCTCAAGCTCTAATAGTGCCTTGCTACATCTGTTGAGATTAACTCTTGGACTAAACTCATTTATTTATACAAAATCATGGAAAACTTTCCATGGGAGGAAAAGCAGCGTCTTTTAAGTGGGTGGGAATGAGGCACAAGTTATGACCCTGAAGATGATCTCTTGGGGATCTTGCAAGAAAAGTTAGAATAAATAAGTCAGAAAATGTAAACCATCAAAACTATTACTAGTAAGTTAACGTCAGGGAGCTTGTCAACACGAGCACATGTAAAAAAATCTCTTACTTTCCCTAAAAATTCTGTTACAGTTATTGGTTGTGAGCGTGGCAAAAGTGATACATTGAGAACAGGTACAGTGTTTTGTTTGGGAAAGGTTCCGAGATACCTAGAAACAGTGACGCAACCATCTTGGGTCTTCTTTCCTTTCTAAATTCGTGTTTGTTACACCCAGAAACAGGAGAAACGTGATGTTATAACCATCTTGGGTCTTTCCTTTCTAAATTCGTGTTTATTACACCCAGAAACAGGAGAAACGTGATGTTAACGATCAAAGGCAAATGAGCTTTTGACAACCGTATGGGATTTTGGGTTGGATTCAGATCCACCATTTTTCATTAAGATTAATGGAAGGTGGTGTCCAAGCACTTCAGGTTTCTTTACACATCTCAGGCACAGACGTTGTGGGCAATTAAAAACAGTTCTCAAAGCGTTGAGAAAAAGAAACTGTATCGCTTCGGCTGTGGAGTCTCCCAAATGTGTTGTTTGTGTGATGGCGCGGAGACTTTCGGTGGATGTCGTACATTTTTCCTGACTGAAAAATGGTCTCCTGCATCTCTTGCACAGGAAATGTCCAAGAGAGACTCTTAGCTGTGGTCAAGTATTCAAAAACCATATAATGTATTTTGTTTGAACAGCAGTACTTTTTGTGTATGTACCAATCAGCCCGTGTCTCAACATCTCCTCGCAAAGCAGCATCCCTGAGCTCTGAGCTGCCTGATGAAGGGCCGCTGTCCGTGATGCCAGTATTCCTACTGGTTTTCTGGTGCTAATCGGCGTATTTCTGTCTATAAACTGCACAAAAATCACCACTGTGTTGTATAACTCCAGGATATCACCTCCTCGCAAAACCGGCACACCCAGCTGAGCGAGTGGTTGGGTGAAGCCATACGTTACCTTGGTTTTTTGGATGGGTTCTGCAGTTCCGTGAGTCACTTGAGCAGCAGTGTAACGCACAGGCCCGTCTCGATTACGGGGAACCATCGATCAGAGAAGCACTGTCTACTGATCCATAGTGCTGCTGGTGGAAGGTCTGTTCCCGTGCTGTCACTGTCTTAACAAAGAGCATATTCTGAGTCTTTAATGTTAAGTATGATGGATTACAGTTTGTCCTCTTACTTGGACAAACATCACCTTGCTGGGTTGTCGGGGTGGAGGAAGGAGAAGTTACCTGGTATTACTGTTAACTGTGGCTTCCCTTAGGGAATCTGGGATGGTTTCAATGTCTGGAGTGTTTACCTGGACACACCATGACACTGCTACTAAATTGGTTGGAGGTTTATGGGTGAAAATCAACTTGGAGTAGGAAGGAGATAATTTTTTTTCCCTTGGAGACAAAAGGGGAGTTGTGCAAGATGAATTAAATGGAGAAGGGACTGTTTGCCAGACTCGCGGAGCTGCCTGCCTCGTGGCTCCCCATGGATTCCATAGATGTGCTAACATGACTGGCAGCAGTCCTGGCCCAGTTCTCCTGTTTGGATGAGCTTGGGGCCCACCCGCTGGCTCTTTGCCGTGCATTGTTGCGGCGCTTGACCAAACCGTGGCTGCGTGAAGTGACTTGATCCTTTCAGCTGTCCAAATCACATGCCTGACATGGGACAGGAAATCCTGCTGCTGGCTTAGACGGGCTGTCTCAGAAGGCTGGTGGTGCTTGAATTACATGTCACAACACAGAAGCTGTGTTGGGTGAGGAGGTGGGATATGAGAGAGAGGAAAAAGGTCTGGAAATACGGATGAAGGATAAAAATTGCCAAAGGCTCTGGTCTGGCTTGACTTTGACCTGGGACGAGAGTAAGAAGGAACATGAGGAGAGAAGGCTGGGATGCCGGGAAGCGTAAAGCTCCTATCTGGTCAATCTTAGCCTGAATCCTTAAACTGTGAAAGGGAAATAATTCCACTTCTCCCCAGATACTCCGAGTGGCGTGTGAATTTCTGCGGGCACGTCCTGTTCCAACAAAACATGACGATCCTCCCCGTGCTCTACTCTTTAACCCTTACGCTAGTTTAGACAGCCTCTCCAGCGTTCCTGAGTTAGAGGGGATGCAGGGGAAACGCCGTGTTAGAGGTCAGGTCAGGACCGCTGCAGAGTAGCCTTTGAAAGCACTGGGTCACCAGACCTTGCTGTGAATTGGGGCTTGGAGATGTCTTCATTGTCAGTGGTGCTGGCAGCAGAGAAGCAGCTGCGTTCAGGGGTTGTCAGAATTTTTTTGCCTAGCGCTGCGATGTGGTAGCCCAGGGCTGGGTCATTGCTTTTGAAGCGTCTTCAGATATTTGGGTCTTGCCTCTGGGGTTTGTTTCTGGAATATTCTTTCGGTTTCAGCTTGATTAGCAGATAAATCATGAGGGTTAAACAGCCTGTGCAGTAGGTTTGTCAGCTGTTCTCTCACATCAGGTTTCAGTAACGGATATGTGGCACTGTTCTCCCTCGTCCTTTGCTGATAGGGAAACTGAGGCACAACGATTGCGCTGCCTCGTCCATTTCAGAAGCAGATGCGAGAGGACGCACGAGTTCTGGCTCTTGTTAGAGATTTTTTTGCTACATCATGCTGTTTCTTCTAAAAATACTTGTGTGTATTTCTAGTCAAGTTGCTGGCTTCTTACTTACAAGTGTAGAACTCATTTTACTCGGTGTATATTTTATTAAACCTCTTCTCAGTTCTAAGGTTGAATTGAATTCAGTTTGGCTAAAACCACATCGAATGTTTTTAGCCAGGTCTTTAAACACACTTAATTTGAATGCTTCAGGAGTATCACTTATTGCCCCCGCTCGTCAGATCAGGTGCATGCAGCAGGGCTAGGACACAGTAGAGGGCTTTGTGCATTCAAAGGGTCTTCTCCTCGCTTGTCGTACGAGAATAGGCAGGTTTTTTCTGTCATGGGGCTATACAGACCTGCAAATATATTGACCCATATTTGATTTCAGTTTTCTAAAGGAATAAAATGTTAAAGTGCTTTGAATATAGTATTTTGACAGTGAAGAAAGGTCAAGTGTCGGTGAGATTTGAGTACAGATGATTGAGATGCTAAGAGCTGAAACATCTTGCTCTCTTCATTAGATTTCTTGTTACGTACATGCAGCCAGGTGCAGGAACCCAGCTAAAGTCTTTCTGACTCTCTCGAGTTCCACTTGAGATAGAAGGGTGTGTGCCACACTTATCCTCTCCCGTCTCTGTTGCAAGTTGAATCTCTCTGTCCTCTGTACCAAGCTTAGAAAACAGTCTTAGAATTGTATTTTAAAGAACTAATTGTTTGGTTTGTAGAATTTTTGCCTGCATAATTTTGAAAAATTATTTCTGTTATGCTGGTGATTTTAAGTTGGATAATGTTATCGAGCATCAGGCAAGCAGAGTTCGAGGAAAATGTTTAACGGTTGCTGGTTTAACAGTTCAGATCTTAAAACCACTGCATTCAATATTCTGCCTCTCTCTCTCTGTTTTTACTACAGGTTGGGTTTTTTCCTAGCGAGTGCGTTGAACTAATTAACGACAAAGTTCCTCAGTCCGTGACCAACTCTGTGCCAAAACCAGGTATGTATAGTAACTTTTATGATGCAGTGAAAGAGAATGGAGATAATCTTTTTGGTGTTCCATGTTTAATACCTCCTTTATGCGTACCGTGTTACACTCTGTGTGTTGATCATCCTTTATATGTACCACGTGATCCTTTCTATGTGTCGATCATCCACACATTACCTCTCTCTGAATAGTTGCCACTGTTGAATGTCTTTCATCTGCGGTGTTTTGTAAGCTCGTATCAACATCCGTCTCCTGCGTGATTTGAAAGACTTTGAGCTTGTAAGAATTTAAGATACCTTCAGCGATTCCGTGCAACATCCTCGTTCTCGGTGTCCAGAGAGCGTTGCATGTTAGGGGTTTTTTCGTAGAGAACATACAGGTGGCCCAAAAAATGTTTATGCTGACTTAGATGGAGTAGATTGATTAGGTACTGGAAGCTTCCTTCTGTTTGAGGATTGATGGAGAAAATCGGGCATAACTGAAATTGGAATCCTAATTGCTTCAGCGCTGGGTGCGTGACTCCATCTACTTCCTGCTGCCTTCTGCACAGTTCTGTATTGTGTGAAACACAGGCGAGTTAATACCAAGCTCTTCTGAGGAAAGGAAAAATAAATAGAAAAGGAGGCCTGAGATCTGATTCTGCTGTCATCCTAGTATGCACTGGAAGTGATGGCAGTTAGTTAGATGTGCTGGTGTGACTGAGATCTCTGCAGAATTTGCTGGTGGTGAAGCTTTTGTTTAACTCTTCAGATCTTTTAAAAAGAAATCTTTATATTCCCGTATATTATGTGTATCTTTTGTGTCAAGAGAAGCAGTTTGAAATTGCTGATCTTTCTTAAAACACTATGCAGCCAGCAAGTTGAGTTGGAAGCTGGTTAACTGGTGTTCTTTCCATCTGTTTTGTTGGGGTTTTTTTAATGATGTTCCTTATCTTACAAGATTGCTGACTTGATACTTTAAAACAAATAGATGTGATTCAACAGTTTGACTTCTACTGAGGGAGATGCATTTTATCAGATCTTGTGTTACAGCTTGGAACTTTTGGTTCAGTGGTAGAGTCATGAACACCCTCGGCTATCGGCGCGCTGCATTAATCTGCATGCTTCAAAGAGCTGACAGTTCAGGGAAATAGTTTTCCCAGCCACTGGTATCTCCAGCCTTTGTTATTCCTGGGAACATGCAAATGTATTTGCTAGAATCAGTGTCCCAGAGCTCACTGGCAATTCAAAGCACTGCAGCAGGTGGTCATTCCATAAATCCAGTAGCTGCCTTTTGTTGTTTGAAGTCGATCGCTAAACACTGCCGTCAGTCGCTTCTCTGTACTCCATCAGCTAAAGCATGGAGACAAGGGCAGCTTTAAATCTGAATGCAGGCCAGGATGATAGATAGAATCATAAGCAAGTGTTTATTATTAAATACGTCTTTGGCAATTAAATGGCATGAGCTGCTAGTGAGTAGTTTCTTGCTCTGCTTTAATGAGAGATAATGAAGCCGCATAGATTAATAGATTCTATTTGGCTTTAACAACACACTAGGGGGTGGATTTCCTCTTTCAGTCCTGGGAAATGTTTGTTATGAAGTTGATACCAAAAGCCCAAGTCCTATTAAAAGTAATAAGTTGAAAGATACTGCCAAGTCATGAGGCTGCCCCTGTTGACCTTCCCTGATAGTTGTTCTGTGCGTACAATTACGGGCGAAAGGCTGCTCTAGAAGAACGCTAATGAGCTTTCAGACGTAAGGATTGCTAGAACGACTGTTGCAGCTGTTTCTGTAATCCTTCCCTGCCCTTCCTTTGCACGCAGCAGTTATGATACCATAAAGCATTATGCTTTCTATTTTTTCCACCTTGGGAAGTTAACAGTACTTGTAAGGTGGAGGCAGAAGCCTGGAAGACTCTTCCTCGGTTGCTGCAGAAGTTGTGACTTGGCAGGAGCTCGCAGGAGTCGGGGAGGAGGTTCCCATAGTTAAGGCATGTTGAATTTGATGCTGGAGAACTCGAAGAACCTATCTGCCTGGAGGGAGAAATAATGTCTGAAATACAGCAGGGGGGAGAAGGTGAAGAGGGGGAGGAAGGAGTTCCAGTTTCCTGGGCTGGGTTCCCGCGCAGCTGCACCAGCCGAGTGCCTTGTCAGCACCGTCCAGGAAGGTGGCACAGGGGGCAGACGGGCGTTGTGGAGCACCCCGGGCGGCTTGGGTAGCCCTGCTGCCAAATGTGAAATCGGATCGTTCGCAGTGGCTCCTCCGGAGCCTCGCTGGGAATTGCGTTGCTGGGGTAATGCAGAAGAGCCTGCGTTTTCCTCACCCCTGTCCCCTGTGGTGAGCGTATTCTAATCTGTGGCTCAGAGGGCATTTCTCTTACACTTAAATAGCCACACCAGTTAATTTTCTCCCTTTACCTGTATTTGGAGCATCGGATTGCCTTTCCCCAAGGAACAGACTTCTAAAAGGAACCACTTGGACCTTTTGCCCTTACTCTACAGCTAGAATTAACATGAAGTTTTAGATTTGGGCTTGCTAAGACGTACTTATCGACATGCAAACTTTATTTTCTTTGATCGAAATGATGTGTAGAGAGAGCATCTAGGACATTTTGTATCTGCAGCGTAAAGCTCTTTGCCATGAAGGAATTTACAAACATAGAACTCCTCGTGTTGATAGTCCCTAGACTTGGCTGAGTTGAGTAATCGAATGAAAAGCAGATGGAAAGCAAAGAACTTCCTGCCCTGCGTTTTTATTATTATTTATAATTAGAGGGTTTGATTTGCAGAAGTGATGGGGATAGCGTTTTAATAGAGCCATAAAATATTGCCGTGGTCTGTAATGCAGTACAAATAATGACTGGAGTTCAAATGTGAGTGAAACACAGGGAATGGGAGAGGAGGGTTGGGTTTAAGTGCAGACTCTGCTTTTAGAAGCAGTATTTTTCTTTGACTGTGGCAGCACATGCTTACACCAGCGATAACACAGCCAGTGCCTGAGATGAATGAAAGAAAATGGACCGTACAGGAAAACCATCCATTTGATGGATTTCAATTCTGAAAATTCAAAGTAAGAATTGGTTTTGCCTTCAGTCACCCCTGAAATACATTTGGGAGATGAAGTCTGGATTGTCAAAGCCATCATCTCCCAAAATACTGCTGGGGGTGGAGATGCTTGCAGAGATATGTATCCGCCTGTGCACGCGGGCACACACCCGCTATCACCGGGGAGTTACAGGGAGTTTCAGCACTGCTTAACAAAGTTTTCAAACTTTGTACACGTGAGAAAGTCGTACCAGGAGAAGAGGGATGCTCAGGAGGTCTTGGAAGGTTACCTGCTGAGTGGTGTTTTCCCTTCAGTGTTGTACTAAGCCCGTGCCCCATTTTTTTCATGTTCAGTGCAGTAAGGAAAGGCTTTGGTTTTGAGGCAGGGTGCAAACTGGTAGCCTGTTTCTGTTTGTGTAAAAACCACTGCGAAGATCTAGGAAGGTCGTGTGGGCTCACCAAATCCCAATTTGCTTGGGCACTTGCCTTTTTTCTAACTTCTTCCTGCGTTGTTACTCGGATACAACACTCTTAATGATAAATTCGTCGCCTGAGTTATTATATTGAGTTGATAGCAGATACTTCATCCCTCGTACCATTTGCTGACAAGTTAGCTGAATTTCAGTGCCACACTAAGTGGAATCAGCTCGTATTTATGAAGATTTTTAAAGAGACACGGGATGAAAGGTCGCATTTGAATTTCAGATATTCAGCGAATCTTTTAAATATCCATTGAGCTGCTTCAGAGTACAAAGTTAATAACTTTTGTTTTGGTTTTTTTTCATTCTAAGTGAACGTTTAGGAATTGCCTGTTGCTTGTGGCTGTGTTGACTCTTCTCATTCACTTCTGTCCATCTGTGGTTGGTCTTTTCTGGGAGCAGGGTGCATGTGTGTGTGTGTGCGTGTTCCTGTTGTCCCACTCATCGTTTCGGCATAGTTAGCAGCCACAGGCAGCGTGTCCCAGCTATCTGTTTCAGTCCATTCTTTCTCATAATTCTGGATATTTGTAGTTTAACAATATTTAAAATCACGTCTCACACTTCACCTCATACATGCAATTTGTGTCATGTCTTTTGCTAACGAGCAGCATCTCGCTGCGTACCGAATCTTTGCTGCAGCGTGCCTTGGCGTGGTCATTTGTTCGAAGGTTTCTAAATGTGGTGGCTGCTGGGGAGCCTCTGGTTTCAGTGGGGAAACGACAAATAAAGATGCAGTTTGCAGTGGGACAGGTAGAGGTGTAAGATAATGTTTCCCTTGTTGTTTTTTTTTTTTGTTCTCAAAACAATGAGCATTTTTAAAACTTCAGGGGTCATTCTCACCAGTTCCTCAGTGTTGCTTAGGACAAAAGAATGAGTAAGCCCAGCAGCTCTGCCCAACTTTCTGGAGGATTTTTCGAATTCCTGTCTCATCCGTTCATTTAATTTAGATTTAACAGGTAAACGCACTCTTCTGATACGTAACTAAAAGGACGCATTAAAGGGTCCTTGTTAGTATTACAAGCTGTTGTAAACGAATAATTTTTTTTTTAAAACGTAAATAACAGATTAATCTGGGTCAACAGGCCAAACACAGATAATCCACTGAACTTCAGGAGGATTGAAATTTAGGTCTGGGTCAGGCAACAGACTCTGTTCTTATCTCCTGAAGGCTCTGGTACAGCGCTGAATGAATTAATTTGAACTGCAAAAAATGCAAACTGAGCTACATTCATCGCGTTGGGGCGATTGCAATCGTAACGGACTCTTAAGAGGTCATGCCTGGTTTGAAACAGGCCAGTTGCTAATCCTTGGACAAAACAAAAAAAAAAAAGATTGTGGGTGTTTTTTTTTTAAAAATAAAAATAAAAATCAGGTGCAAATAGGACTTACATGCTGCAGATGCCTGGGTTGAACAGCTGCTGAGTGCATAATGTCTTCATTAGTGTTTTTATAAAGAAAATATGAAAAGATAAAATGTCTGTAATTACTACCTGTCTCGTTAATCTTATGT